GAAGGGGAAGAGGAAGGCTGTAGAGACTACTGGAGATGATGGCAACGTCTTTCTCAGTCTTGTTTTTTGTTTGTTTTTTTTGGAGATGGAATCTCGCTTTGTCACCCAGGCTGGAGTGCCGTGGTGCAATCTCAGCTTACTGCAACCTCTGCCTCCTGGGTTCAAGTGATTATCCTGACTCAGCCTCCCGAGTAGCTGGGACTACAGGCAAGTGCCACCACACCTGGCTAATTTTTGTATTTTTGGTAGAGATGGGGTTTCATCATATTGGCCAGGCTGGTCTGGAACTCCTGATGTCGTGATCTGTGCACTTTGGCCTCCCAAAGTGCTGGGATTACAGGTGTGAGCCACCACGCCCGGGTGGCAGTGCAGTTCTAAGACAGTGCAGTTCTACGCTGCCTGCCAGAGGAGTCTGGAATCTCACAGGAATAGGTCTATTTCAGTGTGCCAGCTGTGCTCAGTCATTGGTTTTGAGAAGGTTGGTTGGAAGCGTGGCCTCCATGTAAACAAGGTGGGAGATTCAGATCATAGCAGCTGGGGGCATCTGTTAGTTAAACTCCCTGGTGCAGCTGACCTGAGGGTTAGAGGTGCCTACAGCCATATGGTGAATTGGTAGCAAAGTTGGAGGGAGAGCTTGGTGGGTGTCCTGGGAGAAGCCTTCACCCTCAAGTGCCTGGCTGGGATTTCTAGCTGGAATTTCCCCTCTGGTTTTCTCTTGTGGGCTGAGTAGGGAATGGAGCAATTTCTGTTACTGACAGAGGCTTTTCCTGAAGGTGTGGGTGTTGCTGAGTGGTAGTGTCCTGCCAGCCTTTTCTCTTCTGGTGGCAGCAGAGCCTGGCACAAGAAGAGCCTGTGGCTGAGCTTCAGGTTTCCTGTCACTTTGGCTGGGATGTGGGCTGACCACCAGACGCGTGCTCAGGGCGCAGCTCAGCCGGTGGTGAGCAGCTTACTTGCGTGGTCTTTTCGCGTGCTGAGCTTTGAGGGCTGGAGGGAGGAAGTGGGGGTGCTGCTTTGTGGGACAGCAGTGGGAGCCCTGCCAGAGGTGAATGTGCAGGTACTCCTGGGGACTCACTGGTCTCGGGGAGGCCAGGGGCTCAGGAGTCAGATTGCTTTTCCATCTGGCAGGAGTGCTGGCAGGTTGGGGGAGACAGGGGTAGGGGTGAAGCCAAATCTTTGGCCTTGCTTTGCCCCTACTTGCTGAGAGTGCCCTGGAGGAAGATGGCGGGCGGGTACGGCTGCAGCCCCTGCTGGGCTGGATGAGACCCCTGGGAAGGGAGGTCCCCGAGTGCCCACTCCTGCAGCTCTGTGTGCATATGTGCTCCCCACAGCTGCCCCCCTCTCCAGGGAACCCCCATCAGCTTGAGGAGCCTGAGGGGTGGGGTTAGGCATTTGCTCTCAACCTCCTTTCCCCCTTGCTCTGGGTGGCCCCAACTCTTACCCTATCCTGCTGCCCTCCCTTCCTCCTTCCTGGGCACACTCCCTGGGGAAATGGCACCCATCCACATTTTGTAATGTCAGCAGACATGCTGATCGTGTCACCCAGTCATCCGCCTTGGTGTCCACCTAGAGAGATGAGATCTTCTGTTCACACAAACCTGTCTCCAGAGGTTCATAGCAGGACTATTCATATCTGCCAAACACTGGAGACAGCCCAGATGCTCTTCAGTGGGTAAATGGAGAAACAGATGCGGCCCGTCTGTGCGAGGGAACACTGCTCCTCCGATAAAAGGCTTGGGCCACGGATGTGCGCAGTGACTTGGATACGTCTCAGAGGCATCATGTTGGATGAAAGATGATAATCTCAAAAGATTATATTCCATTTTATTTGACTCTTTTTTTTGAGGTCTTGCTCTGTCAACCAGGCTGGAGTGCAGTGGAGTGATCATGGCTCACTGCAGCCTTAACCTCCTGGGCTCAAGCAATCCTCCCACCTTGGTCTTCCAAAGTCCTGGGATTATAGACGTGAGCCACTGCACCTGTCCTGGCCTTTATTTTATTTTGGTTAATTAATTAGAGATAGGGTCTTGTTCTGTGACCCAGGCCGGAGTGCAGTGGTACAATCATAGCCCACTGCAGCCATAATCTTCCAGGCTCGAGCAGTCCTCCCACCTTAGCTTCCTGAGTAGCTGGGACTACAGGCACACGCCATCACACCTGGCTAATTTTTGTATTTTTAGTAGAGAAGAGGTTTTGCCATGTTGGCCAGGCTGGTCTCGAACTCCTGACCTCAGGTGATCTGCCCGCCTCAGCCTCCCAAAGTGCTAGGATTGCAGGCATGAGCCTCTGCGCCCGGCCGACATTTTTTTTTTTTTTCTTTGAGACAGAGTCATGCACTGTTGCCCAGGCTGGATGGAGTGCAGTGGCGCGATCTTGGCTCACTGAAAGCCCCGCCTCCTGGATTCACGTCATTCTTTTGCCTCAGCCTCCCGAGTAGCCGGGACTACGGGCAGTTGCCACCATGCCTGGCTAATTTTTTGTACTTTTAGTAGAGATGGGGATTTCACCGTGTTAGCCAGGATGGTCTCGATCTCCTGACCTCGTGATCTGCCCGCCTCGGCCTCCCAAAGTGCTGGGATTAGAGGCGTGCGCCACCGCGCCCGGCCCCGGCCGACATTTTTTAAGTCGATGAAACTGTAGCTTTAGAGAGCAGATCAGTGGTTGTCACGGGTTAGGCGGGGAGGAGAGGTTGCACGAGGAAGTTTGTCTGAGTGTAGATAGTGGTGATACCAACACGAATCTATACACATGTTAAAATCATACATTGTATACAAAAATAATTAATTTTAGTTATGACAGTTTAACAAATAGTCATATCTACTCATATTGCCGTCTCAGGAAGCCCCTCTGCTTGGCCAGAATGGAGCAGCCAAAGGGAGTTGATTGGACGGTCGTCATCCTGACCTGCCAGTACAAGGACAGTGTCCAGGTCTTTCAGAGAGGTAGGGGACTCCCCCTTCCCACCTTGCCCCTAATGGAGAACCTCCCTCCCCTTCCTGGCTATGTCCCTCCAACACCAGGTGCCAGGCCGACCTGGGTTCAAACCCAGATCGCACTTCTCCCTAGCCATGTGACAGCATATATGGCATGTCATTCCTTGTGTCTCGGTTTTCTCATCTGTAAGATGGGAGTAGTAGGACTTCTCTCACTGAGTTGGGTGAAGATCTAATGGCCTTCTATATGGAAAGCTAAGTCAAGGAAGATCAAACACTGATGATCAATAGCCTTGCTCAGGTGCTTTGGGCCAGGGCAGAGAGCTGGGGGTCAGGTCCCAGTGTCTCTTCTGACCCTAGAACTGGAAGTGCGGCAGAAGCGGGAGCAGATCCCTGCTGGGACGCTGTTACTGGCCGTGGAGGACCCAGAGAAGCGTGTGGGCAGCGGAGGAGCCACCCTCAACGCCCTGCTGGTGGCTGCTGAACACCTGAGTGCCCGGGCAGGCTTCACTGTGAGTGCTCACCAGGGCCACCTCCCTGGTCCATGTCCCTGCTGGAACCAGGTCATTTCTGAGATCCCCAGCTCCTCTGGCTCCATTGCCCTGGCTAATTCAGCATTGGCTTCCGCATTGGCCTCAGTTTTTGTTTCTGTAAATTGGGTGGACTCATCTTTGCCTTGTCGTCCAAGTGAGGGCAGAAGGCAGGGCCAGCTTTTGCAGTGTTTTTAGAGAGTTGGAGCCAATATCTCAAAGTGAGGCTTTCTGGCTTCTCTTGAAACATTCAAAGGTCTTGCTAGTCTGGGCTGTCATCCCCACATGGCAACTAACTGTTCACTGGAACTGAGATGTGACTGCC